CAAGGATTTGAAATCCCCGCTGCCTTCTCTGGGGATTTTAAATCATAAGGGCTAAACGCTCATACAGCATATCAAGCAGGGGTAAAAAAAGATGGCAGTGATCATCGCGGCACCAGAAATTACGTCAACATGCTTCAATCCGACACGTTATGTCATGTATCACGTGATAGTGATATCAGGACCTGCAGCAGTGTGAAGAGTGTGAAAACCTGGCACAGCCAGGGGTTGGCGGGCAAAGCCAGTGGGGCTTGCAGCAGCAATAAGAGTGAGCATGGAGCTGTCAACTCCAACCTGTGATGTCAAGGATGGGCGGGGCTGATATGTGTTTCAGGGGCCCTGCCCCTTTTTGTCAAGCAAGGACTGCATAGATAAACAGCCAGTATTTATATATTGTACACATTATACCCCGCTGCGGGTGCACATGCAGTTGTTCCAATTGGTCCTGCCCCTTGTCACGGTTTTCCCGGTTGGCACTGTATAAATGCTGGCTGTTTCCCTATGAACAGGTTGTTTTTAAAAGGGGGCAGAGCACTTGAAATACATATCGGCCCCACCCATACCCGACATCACAGGTTGGACTTGAAAGTTGCACTCTCATTGCAGTCAAACTCCCACTTGCTTGTTTGCCAATCCCTGGCTGTGCTAGATATTCACACTGCTGTAGGGCCTGCTCAGCTGCAGTCATTTGTTATCCGTCTGATGCCGGCATTCTTGCCTCGGCTCCTGTATGCTGTTAATCAAGATTTTAGAATGCAAGTGTATGTTTAATTGGAGTCTTTGTGGTTTAACTAATTTCTGAACCTTGCACTCTGTCTCGTAAAGCATCCCTGAATCCTGCAGTCTGTATGAAACACACTCCTGAACCTTGCACTCTGTATGAAACGTATTCCTGAACCTTGCACTCTGTATGAAACGCACTCCTGAACCTTGCACTCTGTATGAAACACACTCCTGAACCTTGCACTCTGTATGAAACGCACTCCTGAATGCTGCACTCTGTATGAAACACACTCCTGAATGCTGCACTCTGTATGAAACGCACTCCTGAACCTTGCACTCTGTATGAAACGTACTCTTGAACCTTGCATTCTGTATGAAACGCACTCCTGAACCTTGCACTCTGTATGAAACGTACTCCTGAACCTTGCACTCTGTATGAAACGCACTCCTGAACCTTGCATTCTGTATGAAACTTACTCCTGAACCTTGTACTCTGTATGAAACGCACTCCTGAACCTTGTACTCTGTCTCATAAAGCATCCCTGAATCCTGCACTCTGTATGAAACGCATTCCTGAACCTTGCACTCTGTATGAAACGCACTCCTGAACCTTGCACTCTGTATAAAACGCGCTCCTGAATCCTGCACTCTGTATGAAACGCACTCCTGAACCTTGCACTCTGTATGAAACGCACTCCTGAATCCTGCACTCTGTATGAAACGCACTCCTGAATCCTGCACTCTGTATGAAATGCACTCCTGAACCTTGCACTCTGTATGAAACGCATTCCTGAACCTTGCACTCTGTATGAAACCCATTCCTGAATCCTGCACTCTGTATGAAACGCACTCCTGTACCTTGCACTCTGTATGAAACGCATTCCTGAATCCTACACTCTGTAAAAAACACATTCCTGAATCCTACACTCTGTAAAAAACACATTCCTGAATCCTACACTCTGTAAAAAACACATTCCTGAATCCTACACTCTGTAAAAAACACATTCCTGAATCCTGCACTCTGTAAAAAACACATTCCTGAATCCTTCTGTACGAATCCTGAATCCTGCACTCTGTACGTAACACATTCCTGAATCCTGCACTCTGTACGTAACGCATTCCTGAATCCTGCACTCTGTACGTAACGCATTCCTGAATCCTGCACTCTGTACGTAACGCATTCCTGAATCCTGCACTCTGTACGTAACGCATTCCTGAATCCTGCACTCTGTACGTAACGCATTCCTTCCTGCACTCTGAATCCTGCACTCTGTACGTAACGCATTCCTGAATCCTGCACTCTGTAAGAAACCCATTCCTGAATCCTGCACTCTGTATGTAACGTATTTCTGAATCCTGCATTCTTTATGAAACGCACTCCTGAATCCTGCACTCTGTGCATCAATCCATCAATCTTCTTGGGTACAACCAGCCTGTCTGATTTTTTTTTTTACATATCAACACTGCCAGTGGCTATAGCTGCTAGCAGCAATCATTGTGTTCTATTGGCCACTAAGGTTCACCCCCCTCATCCTCCGGGAACCCCACCCGCCAGCAGAACACAAAAGTGCTGCAGTAGGCATTCCCCCATCAACACTAACTATGTGGATGGGGAAATCAAGCGATTTTCTTTCCTTTCACCCATGGTGGAAGGAAAGAAAATCGAATCATCTATGGGCTGCTTTAGAGAACCATATTCATCCAGTAATGTTCCAGTATTATATAATATATCATTTCTGTTGGGGAAGGGGGACACAACACAGTTCAAAAAGTACACCAAACAAAAAGATAAAAACGTATTTAAATGACATGTATGTGAAAAAAAGATTACAAACTGGTCAGCCAGTCTTTTGCTTCATATACTACAACCATATCACACTGCACAGCCAGGCAGGTTATAAAGTGTAATGATAGGCATTATAGGCATCAAAGAGCTTTCAGCACTCCACGGGACAAGGTGTGTTTGCGCCTTAGCTGAAATGGCTTCCACTAAGGATCCATTCACATCATTTACATTGAGATGCACCAGGGAGCATTGGCCAGCGCAGATGTAAATTGCCTTGTTTATTATGGTGTCAGTTCACACAACTGCGTAATCAGATACATTTTCATTTACAAAATCTGTATCTATATCTTTAACTACAGCAATGTAATATAATTGTTTTACTTATATCTTCGGGATATACTGAAATAAATAAATATATATAAAATTCCTCAATCAGGAAAAACACAGCATTATTGACATTATATGGTACTGATAATCTTAGGAAATTAATCTATTAGGAAAATTACAAAGAAGATTCGAGGAGCCTGTGTGAATGAAAGACATATTCTCACATCAAAATTTTTATTAATGGACCCCTTAGTGTCAGAGTTAATTGTTCCAAAATGTTGTTTGCTTTTTCAGTGGTGCATCGAATGTTGATTTACTAAAACAGAATGGGATCAACAGAGCTAAAATCATTACAGTATGCTTGCATGAATGTGTGTAAGAACACACTCAGTGATTGCATGACAATTTTTACTTGTATGGTGGAATTTTAATACCGTATTCAAAACCTAGTACAGTAAGCCCCTACTTTCAAAAATGTGAACGTGAATTCGCATGTCAAATCATGGCAGTAGCTCAAGGGTCTGATGGACATTGTCATATGTGTGCACCCTCTGCCGCAGGTGTTTGTGCTGCTGTGCACTTTGCTATGCTATAGTGTACAGTAGTATAGTATTGATTTCAAGCCCAAGATGTCCGGAAGCAAACATAAAAGCAATGGTGATGTTGAGGGGACTGCCATAAAACACCAAGCAATAACCATGGAAACAGAAGTTAAAGTATTTGAGAGAGTGGACCGAGGCAAAAAGATGGTAGACATTGCTCGTTTCTTATAACATGAATTATTCAACCATCGGACAAGATCAAGGTATATGTGAAATCTGCTGTACCATTGATGTCGACAATAATATAAAAAGTGATAGGGGTGATGGAGAAACTTCTCAGTGTGTGGATGCAGGACCAATATCAGCGTCAAGTGCCACTCTCAGTGCCCAATCCGCTTAATGCTGATCCAGGAAAAAGCTAAAGTCTGTATCAGGGGAGGACTGACCATTTGGAAACTCGGACACTGCCCGAGGGCCCGGGGTCAGTAGGGGGCTCCATGAGATGCCCCTGGTACCTTTTTCATAGACTTTTTTGAGTTTGGGCAAGGACACAGGGGCCCCATGATCCCCTACTGCCCGGGGCCCCATGAGTTGTCAGTCCGCCCCTGGTTTGTATGAAGACTTAAAGATGTAAAGAAGAAACACAGTAAAGAATGAGAAGGCATCTTTTAATGCCAGCCATGCCTGGTTTCATAGGTTCAAGGCTAGTGCCAACCTTCACAACATAAAAGTAAGTGACAAGGAAGCGAGTGTAGATACCGTAGCTGCCTGGGAATATACTGAAACACTTAAATAAATGATTGACGAAGGCACCTATTTATCAGAACAGGTTTTTAATGTAGATATGACAGGACTGGAATGGGATGTAGACCAAAGTTACATCACTGAGGAGGAAAAGTTGATACTAGGTTATAAAGCAGCAAAGGACAGGCTAACTCTGTTGTTTGGTGGCAATGCTTCCAGCTAACTCTCTTAGTTTATCATTCAGATACCCTAAGAACCCTTAAAAAAAAATAGTCAAGAGCTCTCTTCCTGTTATGTGGAAGAGGAACTCCAAAGCTTGGGTTACACAGGGAATTTTCCAGGACTGTTTTTTCCACCACTTTATCCCTGAGATAGAGAAATATTACTTGGAGAAAGATGTCCCATTCAACATTCTTTTGCTGCTTGAAACCACTGGTGATAATACTTTTACTATGTATTATTACTGTTACAGGTACTTGTATAGCACTATCAATTTATGCAGCACTTTATCAGTCCCTAACCCTCATGTGGTGTACAATCTAATGTCCCTAACTTACATTTATATATACACATACTAGGGCCAGCTTAGACCGGATCCAATTAACCTACCAGCATGTCTTTGGAGTGTGGGAGGAAACCCACACAGGCACAGGGAGAACATGAAGACTCCAGGCAGGTGGTGCCGTGGTTGGGATTCAAACCAACGACCCCAGTACTGCCAGGCAGAAATGGTAACCATGTAGCTGCCCTACGTATAAACTATTTACTATGTATTTATTATTTATACTATGTATAAACACAGTCCTTAGAGTTGGATCCAGTCTTTTTTTTTCCAGAAAAGTAAAAAAGAACAGTTACATATCCAGTCATCCAGCACTCACCAATTTCTTCAGGACTATATCAAGGTTTCTTGTAGTACTTCCGTATTTAATTTCACAAGTAGGGGAAGGTTTTGCACAGGTCGCCAGCAACAGCACAAAATATAAAACCACCTAAAAACAACAACAAACAAAAGTTCAGTAAAAGTGATAAAAGGAACTGTCTAAAGCAGTGTTTCTCAACCGGGGTTCCGCTTCAAATCAACATTGTGGTGGGTGGATATCTGCCCAATGTTGTTTCCAGTGTTCTCAATGCACACTGACTACTGCTTACTGTCAGTGTGCATTGATACCAGATGCCTCCTCTGTAGTTCTGGCTCCTGTGAACTGAGAGGGAGGCACCATAAGCAGTGCAGAGAGCGGTAGCTGAAGGAGGAGGTGATATCCTATCTCAGTACTGAATGCAGACTACGGAGGGGGCGAGCACAGAGCTGGACCAGATGGATGGATCATATGGTGAGAGCATGTCTGTGTAGTAGCAGTAATGAGGACTGCAGAGTGGGAGCAGAGAACTGGAGCACATGGCTAGATTGGAAGTGTGATCCTGTCTCTATGGTAGCTGTGATGCACACTGTGGAGGTGTGGTTGCAGAGAAAAGGAGCACATGGCTGGATCGGGAGGTGAGATCCTGTGCATGGAAGGACTAAATGCAGGCTGCAGACGAGGGCAGAAGAGGACAGAAGGTGACATCCTGTATATGCCCATTGCTGGATCAGACTGAAAGTAGCAGGAGGTAAGATCATAATACCTTTATGATATGCCATAACTGTACATGAAGCTACTATGATCTCACCTCCTGCTACATTCATTCAGTCTGATTGAGCCATGTGCCCCTGCTCTCTGTTTCCCATCTCTGCAGTCTGCATTCAGCTGCTGCCATACACAGGATCTTGCCCCCTGCAACATTCAGCAATGAGCTCCTATTGTCAGCACCCCCCTTTGAGTTCATAGGAGCTGTAACTACACAGGAGGTATCAATGCACACTGACAGTACTCTGTCAGTGCGCATTGAAAACATCATTGGTATCATGCATATTTTTTCTGCACAGAAATATGCAACATAACCCAAAACTCACCCAACGCCAACATTGTGGTGTCAACAGGGCACATATTTTCCTTATGTTCTTGCAGAGACCTACATTGAAAAAACTCACGTCTCTCCACATGGTGTGAACAAGCCCCAACTATTTTATGCAAGTCAAATCTGCACCATTTTTTCATCAATTTCTATGCATACAGTATATGTTGTGAATGAGGCCCAGCTGTTCCTGCCTTATTTTTGAATTACAATATTTGGGAGTTTTGTTCAAGTTCAGTAAGGCCTCATTCACACCATACATTCATAAAAACTGATGGGAAAACATGCAGATTTTACTTGCATAGAATATATTTTGGGCTTGTTCTTACCATGTGCAGAGACTTGTGTTTTTCTAACACAGGTGTCTGCAAAAAAAAAAAAACAACAACTGATTTCTATGTGCCCTGTTCAGACTTCCATCTATGATCCAAGGGCTAAAGGTAAGGCCTTGTTCTCCAGATCAAATAGAGCTTCTATATTTTTGCAACTGAATAATATTAATGGTACATTACCCTGAAAAAGGGGTATGAATACTTGTTCAGGGCACTGTACCAATAATGTTCCTCAGTTGCAAAAATATACAAGCTCTTTTTGATCTGGAGAACAAGGCCTTACCTTAGCCCTTGGATCATAGTCGGAATGACAAAGCGCATCAGTACGTGACATCGGATGTAAACTGGAAGTTTTTTGAGCGGCCATTGTGGAAAAGGTTTTTCATACTGCTTGCCATTTCTATACATTCTGAGACACCTAGTCTTTCTTGTAAGGCAATTTTATTATTAAAGAAGCCATATCCCTATCATTGCCTACTACACTATTTTGGTTGTACTTTGCTACATGTTATGATGCCATTGATAAGTGGATGATATGTAGAGTGAGAGGAGCCCTCTTTTCTATGCGAGTGGACTTTATCGTCTGGTAAGGTGCATAAGATAGGAGGTTGCAGTCAGTGTGTTCACTAGCACTGAGAGTTTATGTTATGAGGGGAGAATGGACAGAGTGAAAGTACTGTTTTGAAGATATGACACTATATGCAATTCCTTCGGAGGTACATTTCCTATACGAAAATGGACGGATCTAGGAGCCCAAGCACGAAGGAAGGTGGATTTTGTGGAAGCTTTTTCACATTTGTGAGAGGGTAAGAGTAAAGATGACGGATGGTTAGAGGTGCACACACGGTGGAATGATTTTTGCACGTATTAGCACTATCTTTGTAAGTGCGTTTTGATGTGTTGGATATCATGCGTTGTAGATAATGCACTATATGTGATTTATATTTTTTTTCGAGGGTAATAATTGGAGAAAGAGGATTTTTATCACTTGTGGAGGATGAATATTCATTAAGAAGATATCAGCACTACTGGGTGTTTAACCGCTTCCATACCGGACATTTTTACCCCCATCCTGCCCAGGCCATTTTTCAGGTTTCAGCGCTCTCACACTTTGAATGACAATTGCACGGTCATACAACATTGTACCCAAACTAACATTTTATCATTTTCTTCACACAACTACAGCTTTCTTTTGGTGGTATTTAATCACCACTGGGGTTTTTATTTTTTGCTAAATTAACAAACCAAACTGAAAATTTTGAAAAAAAAAACACGTTTTTCTTTGTTTCTGTTATAAAAGTTTGCAAATAGATAATTTTTTCTTCATAAATTTAGGCCAATATGTATTCTACTACATGTCTTTGGTGAAAATAACCCAAATTAGGATGTATTATTTAGTCTGTAGGAAAGTTATAGAGTTCACAAACTATGGTATATATCTGAATATTGATCAATCCTGAAGTACTGACGGCCAATCTAATTTCTTGAGGTCCAACAGATATCCCCCAAATGACCACTTTTTGCAAAGTAGACAGTCCAACATATTTCATAAGAGGCATGGCGAGTTTTTTGAAGTTGTAATTTTTTTGTCATAATTTTTCGTAAAATGAAAAAAATTAAAAGAAATATTTTCACATACTGTCACCAGTGCAGTACAGCGTCATCACATAACTGGCATGGCAGTGATCAGGGACACTGACTGGTGACAGTATGAAAAAAAAATTATATTTTTTTAAAAAAATGTTAGTTTTAATTTTTTATTAAATTGTTTTCTTTTTTTAAGATTTTTTTTTTCATATTTCACTATGACCAAAGTAGTATAATGTTACCATAGTAACATTGTACTACTTTGGGGAAGTGATCAGTATTTTTTTTTTTTACACATAATTTGCTTATAGCAAAGAATTACTTTGCTATAAGCAAGCATTTACCTGAATGACATCGATTCATTCAGGGGGGTTTTTTGTACTTAGCTGTGAGTTGGCCACGGCTAATCACATGACACAGCTGGGCTGTGATTGGCCAACTTGTGCATGTGATCACTGTGACCATTCACAGCTAGACACACTAGTATACAATGGATGCCATGAAAGTAAGCCATCCATTGTATACAACTGTCATGTGACCTGCTGTGATTGGTCACAGCAGGTCACATGGTACTGGAAACGGGGCCGGTACACAGATCTGTCATCAGCCATGTCCGAGGTACAGTGACAGATCGTGCCGCAGAGCGACCCTGCAGGCAGGTGCACTGCGCATGCCTGAAAGGATGCCATATGGCATTCGCCCAGAGGGATGAGGTGTTTTGCCGGCCGCCATTGTGCTATTGGCCAGGCGGGAACTGGTTAAAATACAGAGACGCTGATTAAAAGTTGGACTGTGCATTTTGGGGAGGAGGTATTGTGGAATACTCATGTTCGTAGTCCCTGGAACAAACACTCAGGACCCAGGCATCTAAGATTTACTGGCAACCAAAAGGATGAGAAAGCCAAAAGATGTCCCCCCATTTCGAGAAGTGGGTACGCCCCAACACTGTGAAGAGGCCTTGATGCCAATTTTAGATGGTTTGGGCAGCCAAGTCTTTTGAAGGTATGCTCCTGTCTTACACTCAACATTGGAAGATTTAGAGGAATGAAACTTCAGGAATAGAATATCTACTGGTAGAAAGGGCAACTTTTCCTGAACACAAAAGTTCCAGCTGACGATGGACAGAAATCAAAGCCCAAACAGCAGTAATCTGACAGCCTGCCATAGACACAACTGCAGGTTTGCATGGAAAGGCCCACCAAGGCAAAGTTAGCCTTATGTAGAATTTTTAAACACAGGGTTATCTTCAATGAGGGCCATGAGGGTCACGTAAAAGATGAGATGGCTGGATCCATCACAGGAATTGTCTGTACTGTAGATAGGAGGGGGGGGGGGGGGGGGGGGGAGAGTCTGGCAGGCTTGGATATCATCTTCCTCCACCACAGGGTAATAGCACAGTGTTTAGTCTTACACTGCACACTATAATGCTTTTTTAACCTTTGGGACTGTAATGTGTACCGAGTTTACAGTTTGAGAGTGGATCACTGTAAGCCCTTTCCTTGTCACATATTAATGTATAGCATAAGGCAGCTGACTCTAAAGGTTCCTAGCACTGCCACTGCCTCTTGGAGGGATTATCTCAACACATTTCTCCTGTTTTCTTTAAGCACTACCCAATGCTGTGCATTATTGAAAAGGTTCTAACTCCCCTGTTACAACCAAGGCCGACTAGACAGGAGGGAGACGGGTAGGGAAGTTATCATTTTAGTTGGGTTAGTTGGTCTTTGCTAGTATCACCAAATTTAGCTTAGGCATAACCAATGTATGTCTATGTTTGGCCCTGTGTGGCCTTATTTTTAATTGTAATGCAATTTTCAAAAAAATAATAGTTTTTAAGAATACTTAGTGTTAGGCTTTTCTTCCACTTTCAGGCATCAGCACCCTCAGTGCACCTGTCAGGGTTGTAAGGGTGCACATGCACTCCTTCCCAACAAGTACACCCACAGCTCCCTCTAGTGATGTTGAACCAACCAGCAGGACCTGCAGCTCCTCCAGGTGCAACAGGGAACCATGAGTCTCACGAGCTGCTCAATGGCAGTGAGAAAGCACAAGGAACCCCA